ATGTATGCTCCTGTTTGTTTTGAGAGAAACCTTGTGATGCTAATAGCATTAATATTCTTTCTTTTTACGATTTGTAACTACAAAGTTATGTAAAACATGAGCATATTTCTATACAAATAAACACAGTTTTAAATGTGTCATTTGTAATCACATTATTTCAGCGTCTTTACTCACAAAGTTTGGGATGCCAGCTCTCGAGGTTCACTGTAAGGTTCTTATTTTTAGGTAATTATGAACTCATGAAAGCATAAAACATATTCCATTTCTGCCAATAGATCCTCCTCAGATTGGATTTTTGCAAATGCCTGTATTGGCTAGTGGTTGAATATAATGTAATGAATCAAGTATTGTACTTTTTATTTCTACTTGAGAACATTTTATGCATCTCAGAGGCAAATATTATTTTACTCTAAAATCTATAATGAGCTTATGATGCATTGTTGAATACTATAGTAGAATAAACTACCAAATGCATGCTTAAATGTTAATGCACCTGTAATAATGCAACACATCTAATGCATAACATACAGCACTGACGTGGGTAATTCTGCTTACATACACTTACTTTTGATATTTTTAAGTGCATCTTGCTGATGAAACTTGCAGGACATAACTGTGTAATGGCTACTTTTACTGCCATTAGCAGAGCACATGCATTAACAGCAAGGTCATTGTTGGAGACGTCTTTAATGCAACAATGCAGACTGACCCAATTAAGTAGCAGGAAAAGACAATCACAACCGTAGTAGTGGTACTACTGATGAGCCTGTGTTTGTGTGCTGAAGCGGGGAGTGAGTAGGGATGACGCCGGGCAAGGGTGGGAAGTCCGGTCCCTGTTTCTTTTCTTTTTTTGATGGCGGGTGGAGTGGTGGAGCTGAGCGGCGGTTCACCCCAGAGACCTCACTCCCTCCCTGCGCTAGGAAACAAAAGGGGCTTTTTCTCTGAGGAGCACAGTGACGTGGGAGGCGGCTGTGAATGTGGGCCATGTGTCAGAGCTGCTGCCGCTGCTCCGTTTGTCTGCTTCCCCTCCCCAACCCCGGTGCCTGTGCAAACCTCCAGAATTATACTGTTGTTAACTTTTTGATTCACTGCTTCAGTACGATTGCATACAACGTCTGCGTGTTTTGTCAGGCTTGCAACGATTCTTGTCAGTCTTTGAAAGCGTAAGGTGCCACTAAGGGGAGGGGGGGACAGTCACCTCATTAAAGACCTGCTGAGTAATTTGAAGATTGCTTGACATGCTATACTTCATGCTCAAATACCACACAAAGCATAACTGGGATTAAATTTGCATAAAGGCAAATGTATACTCATGTAATAGACTTGGTGATTTTGCTGTAGCATGAGAATCTTTATGCTTGCATACTGAGGTCATACTTATGGTACATGCAAGCCCGCTGCTTTTCACCAGTTAAGCCCCTTTCGGGTAATGAGTCGAGAAGGAAGTGGGTAAACAGAACCCTTGTAACGTGCTGTGTGGCAGACTGACACACTGAGGGCCCCCGGCCTTTAATCAGTGGAGTGACAGAAGTGAAAGGAGGCTGTGTTCTGACAGAAGATAGGAGAACAACAGGAGGGGTGTGCCTTGCCGAGATCCTGAGCTACACTTACCCCCACCAGCACTGACACAACAGGGTGGTGGTCACTCTTAAACTTTTGGGAGGTTTTGGACAGTCTTATCTGCTCTAGTGATGATTTGAACCACCATCATTTTATTTTGAAATTCCTGCAAAGACTTTGTGAGAGATTTCCCATTTGACAAAAAAAATAAAGAAAAGAAAATCAATCAATCAATTACAGTAGTGGAACTTTTTTGAATAAACAAATTCAAGCATGAAACTGAATCTTGGCTCTAGTTCGTGGGCTTGGTGTTTACCCCCGCTTGGCAGCGCAAATGTGGTTGGGGTGAAAAACAATTTAGCAGTAGCACCCGGCCACAAAACATTTCCAGTTGAGCAAGTGTCGTCTGAAGTTTTTCAAGTAAAAACCGAGCAGGACCAACTTTAGCTCTAAATGACAAAAAGACTTTTTTTTGTGTGTACATACGCACTGAATCGTTACTCTATTGGAGGTAGCTGTCATGTTCAATCTCACCAACATTCTTTTGTCATGCAAGACCAAACCGCAAACTGTGTGAGGTACAAGTAACGTTTTAAGTTCAGCCAGTGTTGAGTCTGAGCAGCAATAGTCTGCACCCACAAAGGCCTTCTCTTGTCAAATAGTTGTTGAGTTTCAAGAAAGAGGTGTCAGCAAGAGGATTGTAGGACCCAAGGTGTGAGCACTCAAACTGAAAGCTTTGGCTTTTACAAAAGGTAACTGGACTCCCTCACTGGAAAGAGCCCCAAGCAGAGACAGCTTTTAAAATTGAGGTCAGCTGTAAGCCTTTTGCAGACCAGGACAGTTAGTTTACACTGCATGATGACATACGACCACCCCTTCGTCTGGATTATATATACGCATAAGCTCGGGTATGACATCACAGGGTCATGCTTTGTGTCTGGGGAGCCAGGCCTGGGAGGCTTTAGCAGGCAGTCGAGCAAGGGGTCGCGTCCTAGAAGGGGGGCTGTGACCACTGTGACCATGTAGACAGAGTACAGACCGCACTGTGTGTGAGACAATTCGATTCGATTGCCTGCAAAGACTCTGAGGGAGGAACAGGAGTGGGGTCGGGGGTAGGAAGAGGGAGAGGGAGGAAATTCAGGCCTCCATTCCAAACCTGACTACTTCTGAAGTTTCACAGCCCTCCCACGCCACCGAGCACTGTTGGCACTGCTGCCCACAAGGGAAGAGGAGTGATGAAATGTGGGGAAACCATGTGGCTTTGGTGAGTACGAGCAAGAGGCCTCCACATGGACGGCGCTCCACACACACAGAAGAGAGGGGGACAAATAACTTGACTGCTGTCAAAACAAGGGCAGGTTTCCATGGATAACAGTGCATTTGGGGCTGCAGGTGTGCGACGCTGTCTGGTCAGCTGACCTGCCGTTTCCTGTCGAACAGGAAGAGCAAAATGAGCGGAGATGAAAGTTCAAGGTAACACACACAGCTGGCAGTTGTTAAGGTGGGTAAATGCAGGTGCGCTACAAGAGCAGCAGTGTGTGTGCCGTGTAAGAGGAGCCTAACCCAAACAGATGACATAAAAACGTATATGAATGTGGGCTCGGGGACACACTGCAGCAGTGTGTATGCTCTGCAAAGATGTAGAGCGATCTCGGGGGGCCTCATTTCTAAAAATGTCTGAGTTTTTTTTAGATTTAATTTCATAATTATTCCAACGAATAGGATTAAAACTGAATTGTTTTTATATTTAAGACAAAATGAGTCAATTGAAGTTACTAATATTGTCTATGACACTTAAAAAAACAAAATACAAATCACAACTTTGCTGGATTTGGTTACAAACATAAACTTTGCACAAATGAGGACCCCAGGAGAATGTTACCACTGGATGCAGGAGATTGGGACGGACATGTTTAACATTAAGAGCCACATTCTTCCACTAATGTGTCTGTCTCCGCACACATGACACATTCTGCAGGGCTTTGCGTCCCTGAGGTGTCAGTCAACATAAGATGAAAATGAGATCATGAGCTTAGCTTGGTAACCTGAAGTATAAGAAGAGGAAGGAGGTAAGGGCGGAGACACCCTGGAGACAGTCATAATCATATTGTAGTATGACTGCAGAAGCCAATATGTAAAGATAAGCATTTAGTGTGCCGCAAATGAGGTCGACTTAATGGGAATGACATTTGCGAGAAGAATGCCAAATTTGGAAAATTCTGAGTACTTTTCTGGGTTAGTTAGCTGTAATGAATTGTTTAGTCTTCAACATGTCATGAAAATAAAGAGGACTGCCAGTTTCAAGTTCCTAAATCCCAGGGTTGCTTATTTTGTCTAAGAAGCCGTTTCTAGCTGCTTTGTAAGGCTGTACTTAAGCACTGTAGTTAGCACTGCCAACATACTTACAATGACTATGCTTACAGCCTGATGCTTAGCGGATACAATGTTTACCATGTCCACATCTTAGTTCCACATCAGCAAGTTAGTACAAAACACTAGTTTTGCAGCTATTTGGTCATAACTGAAGTATTGGACAAACTCAGGAGCTTTTTTTACCTGAATGAAAAGTTAAAGGATTAATAATCTGGACCAAAGTGGTGGCCCCCTGTGCCTCCACTACCACAGTTTATATAAACAAGGTGCTTTTTTTCACATTAGAGAAACAAGAACCTACAAATATTTTTCATTTTTCTTTGATCAGTTACTTACAACAATTACTAATGATTTAAATTATTTAATATAATAAATATAATAATGTTCTGTTGACTGACGGATTGATTGATCTTTCATTCCCTGTGAATAAGCGCCTAATCGCTTTAGGCCTAACCGTATTTACTTGAGACTACACTTAATGCATATCAACAGGTTGACTGCATTAACATGTAACACAGTGAGAAAACAACACAATACAGGTGTTAAAAAAAGTCCAAAGATGACAAACTGATGTACCAATAACCTCCACCTGGTATATCACAACAGCTTCAGTCAAGGATTTGACAGTGTGTTAAGTCTGTCCTTACTGTCCTGTGTCAATGAGGTCATACATGCCCAGACATGTCTCCTGAAATGAGGTCATCTCTATTATTTGAAAGGTAATCTTGCTTCACAGTCTGTGGTCACAGTGAGGGAACCAATGTGCTGCCCTCCAGCGAGAATATCACTGTTTACCTATCATGGCAGCCTGCAGGGGTAAACTGCTGCTAATTTGTAACTTGTGTGAAATGGGTGGATGACCTCGGGCCAGCCTGAGAGGTGTGGTCATCGACCAGCAAGCCCTGTGGCATGTGTGTGTGTGTGTGTTTGTGTTTAACACCTAGTAATGATGAACCTGCCAAGGGGAGCTGTTGAAAACTGTGGCCTACATCCCTCAGAATTACTGCACTTCCACGAACTGGAAAAAAAAAATAACCTAGTTAAAGCCAAGTGAATTCATTCGAGAGTAGTCAAATACAATGTTTAATAGCTCCATACAAGGCCAGCAGGCAGTAACATAATGGACAAAACACTCAGTCAAACAATGTGTAAGCTGTTGGAAAACTGGGTACCAGCTGCTAGTAGTTTGCAGTGTACATTAATATTTATTTCCCAATCAGAAATAGGAGTGGTACAACTAGCTCAGACACAGTTTCATAATACTTCGTAGCATTTCATTACCTTTAATTGCCCAATAACATTCAAGCTTGTGTCAGCTAATGGTGAAGTGAACCAGAAAGACCTCAATGAATCACTTGGCAGAGGGCTTTTGTGCTTGTTGAATCTATTTGGTACACTGAAACCTTGGGGGCAGCGATGGAGAATCGTTTGTTTTACGCCCCACTTCCAGAGGCCTCAATGATCCAGCTGGCACACTAAAGCCCAATAACCAATTCCCCCCCCCCCCGTCATCATTTTATTTAACCTCACTGTAGATAATGAAGTGAATGCACAACGTCTAATGACTGACAATTAACAATGTAACAATGACAGGGCAATCCCCAGCAGAGGCAGCTTACTGTCAAGTAAATAAAGATAAGCGGTTGTAGGTTTGTGATTCTTCCACCCAATGATGGAGTGCTCGTTTCATTTTTGTTTACAGAGGAGGAAACATGAGCTTGAGCACCAGTGTAATTCATCACACTCGGCTGGGTTCTGCATTTATCATCACTGAGACCAGCTCACTTCCCATTTCCAGCGATTTGTTTTTGTAAAACAAAAGCCGCTCCGATATGAATTCCAGTTTAAACCAGAGCCAAGGCTATATTTTCCCCAGTGCTTTGAGACCTTGAGCTACTTTTTACAAAATGTGTGCGACAATGGCACAGAAAAATGCTTTAAACAGCTCATAGACTAGTAAAATAGCTTTATTTAAACAACACTTGCACTTCCGACTACTCCCCACTACTTTATTAAGGTTGTTCATGTTTTGTGTGAAAGGAGTGAGTGACAACAGTATTACCTAGATACAATAAGCTACTTACTTTGATTAATGTACGTTAAAATACACTACAGCTACATTTCAATGGTGTGTGTCCAGTTTGACTACAAACTGCCTTCATGTACAGTGTCTTTGCAAAGGGTTTGACTGTAATTCTAGCAGCGAGTCTGAACACACAGCATTACGTTTCCCTTCTAACTGTCAGTCAGCAGCTGGTTACAGGCACATTCATGTCATCTTGAGGTATCTTATCTATGCCAATCATGTACTGACAAATGCACAGTGCAGCTCTAAACTGTTCAAGACTATCTCTGGTAGACAAAGGTACTAGGAAGTAATTTCACTCTAGTTTGTTTTACACTGTGTGGAGTACCAGAAGGGTGGGTGTTTCCCATATTTGTCAGTTACAGGACATACAGGGTTTGGATGGTATTTTAGTTGTGCACTGCTTTGAGAAAGTTACTTGAATTACTTTAATACAGTACACCCTTCTCACCGGAAACAACACTTGGCTGTATGAAAATACTACTGGCTACCAGCCGGCATCACCCAGGGTCACAGTAAGTGGAGAGTTTCCAGTGTTCGCTGCCTTGTACTCAGTGCCTCTGATTGAGGATCATGTCCACAGCCTGGGCCAGGTTGTCCACAGTGCCATCAGCCGTCACCGTTGGGTGCCTCTCGTCACAGGGCCTGAGGGAGGACAAGCAAAAGTACGCGCTTTAGGACATGCAGCACAGGAACAAACGGAAACAAACAGTCACCTCAGTAAACAAGAAGGACTAGCAGTTTGATGCCATCAGCCACATTAACAATACTGAGCATATAAAGTGGAACAGAGCAGGACACGATGGCCTAAGAGCAGAGTTACTCTACAGGCCGTCTTGTTTAAGCTTGCGGGGAAGGTTTTAGTAATAAATAGGGCTTGTGTCTTCACAGAATGATCATAAGAGGGGACTTATGATCAAGAGCAATATACTAAAAATGAAGGTTTTCCAGTGTTTTTCTTTTTTTTGCAGTGTTATCTTCACACTTAAAGGTGTCTCTGCAGCTGCTTGCCAAAGGCCCCAGCAGGATAGTGCATGTTTTCTGTCTCTATCACCAGCTGTCACACAGTGTTCCATACTTTTCTAATATATCTGAAGGCAACTCAAACAGACCAGCTGGGGACTTTAACGAGAACTGCTAATTCCAAAACAGCCAGTTTCTTAAAATAAAACCAAGAAAATAATTGGCTGACTTAGGCCAGTGGTTTCCAACCTGGTTGTGGGACCCAGAGAGGATGCAGTTGCAAGATACTGTAAGTCTTAACAGGTTGAAAGCTAAATAGAAAATCATGTTTGTCCAACACAAAATTATGTTTCTCAAAACTTGATTTTGCCATACTAATGGTGTGGCTTGAAGGATGGCAGTGTCTGTCAGTCCACACTCAGATATCTATGGTACCCAGAGGATGAACCATTAATGACTTTGGTGATCTCCTGACTTTCCATCTGGTGCCACCAACAGGTCAAAGTTTTCCCTTATCCAGCAAAATGTCTCAACAGCTACTGGATTGATTGGCACAAGATTTTCCAGATGATGCATCCTACTGACTTAAGTGATCCCCTGAGTCTTCCTTTAATGCCACCATGAAGGTTGAATGAAATGAAATATTAACATGTTTAGCATTGTCACTGTGCACATATGTGTGTGCTGGTGCTAGCACATACTTCAAAGCACTGCTGTGCATTGGTACAGCCTCACAGAGCCGCTAGCATGGCTATACACTCTGAAGACAAACGGAACAGGTCACAAATGTCAGAAATCACTGAACATGGCTATCATCATAATTTTGTCTTAACCTGGTTAACTAAAGAGAGGGCAATCTGTAGGAGGCATGGGGGAGCCTTTGCCTATCTCCTCGTGGCTGCTGCCATTGTTTGGCACAGTGCCCAGTGAAGGATGCAGATATAATCAGCTGGTAGGGGAAATTTGATCCATTTGGTGGGGCACCAGACCTAGGACGGCATGCAGGACCCTTTTCCTCCCCATCACATCAAAAGACAGAAACGCCCCATTCATTCATTTGCAGGACTGCCCAGGACTCCTGCTCATTTATGAAGTGGTGCCTATAGATCCCCCCCCCCCCTGGGCTGCCTTGACCAGGCTCTGTGTGCTGCCTCTGTTCCCCAGTCACGGGTTGGAGCACCAGATGGGGTGGCTTTGTCTGGCCCTGGGTGTGCGGCACACACCACCCTTAATCCTGCCCTCTGAGAGCTTGCCGAGGACCATGGCAAATATTTGTGAGCCGCCCAAGTGTAGCATCAGAAAGAAAAGGCCAGTGGGGGGGGGTGGGTGAAGAGAAGTGTTGAATACTGAAGCTGCAGTGAATGCGGAGAAGCGGTGCCATGTGTTTACGCATGTCTGTCAGCCACCAGTGCTTAGGTTATGTGAGCTGGTTCGCTAATGGTCCGGGTGTTATGTCTCCTGTGCTGGATTACTCCCACACCCTTTTCTGCCCGAGGACTGATTGAGTTCATACACGCACATAAAGGCACGAAACACCCTAGCAAGTTAGTCACATGGCTCTATGTTTCAAGCAGTGAAGCCAACAGCATCGGCCACACGTCTCTCCGACCTGATGTGTTTTTAAATCTCCCATAGCCTCTGTCCTTTCAGATATGCATGCATGTGCGTGTGTATTCATTTTGCTGCTTTCCTCCCATTGCCATGAATAATGAAGGAGTAACCAGGTCAATGTGACCATGCAAAATTCAGCACAACGCAGCTAGTGTTACCGGTGAGGTAATCTGTGGCTCGCTGCGCGTCCTTCAGGTCAATGCAATATCAATACATGTGAAGAGATAGGTTTGATCCCTGAGCCTGACTGACACTGCGCAGCCTTCACGTAGGGATGAGGTCAGCCATGAGGTAGGATGTGGGGAGCAGCCAAAGAATTTAGTTTGACGCAGCTGCCACCATGCTGAAAAACTTCACCAGAAAGTTAGTCACTGATGACAAAGTTTGGGGCATGTGGGCAAAGAGCTGAAGAAGACTGATTGTTTTGGGTAGTTATTAGTTGTTCATGGATTTGCTGTGACAGAAATGGATTGACAATGATTTTGAAAATTTCTGGTTCTAGCTTATAAAATGTGAGGACTTTTTTCTGTTTAAAACATTACAATATATTATATATTTGGGTTTAAGACTGCTGGTCGGACTAAACAAACAATTTCAAGATCTCATCATGAACAGATGTTGAGCATATTGTATTATTTTTTCACATTTTACACATAATTAATAAGTCAAAAAAATGCTTACGTGGAGCCCTAAACTTGGGTTTAAACACTATTTATCCTTTTCCGCTATGAATGTTGAACGGTTATTTTAAACAAGTTTGATTGTTGTAGGTAAATCCTTTCCAAACAACAAGTCAACTATCATAACAGTCAACAAGTAATCATAATCATTATCTTGTGCTTTAAAACAGGTACACACTGTACACCTCTAATCCCCTACAACAGCTATGACATGACAGCGGATTAAACAGTTGTGCAAACTGGACACGAGAATATGGGTATCGTGTACGTACTGCTCATGTAACATAAGGTTATAGCGATTAAGAGTGTCATATGGCTAGATATATGACCTGGTACTTGGCTCTATAAAACATAGAGATACATTTTTATAAGGACATGAAATGAAAGTGGATCCGAATGACTCATACAGCGAGTGCACTTGTGTGTGAAAGTCAGCTGTGCGTCAAAACCAGAGAGGGATGAGGTACAGAAATAAAGGAAAGGGTTGGTTTGCAAGGTAGCTGACCGTGAGGTGAAAGGAATGGCAACCTTCCCATCGGTTAATGCTTAACACACAAACACGTACACAATGACAATCACATGTGCACAGAAGGAAGCAAAACTGTCACATACGGCCAATTTCGATTTACACTTCTCTCTTAACCTCTTCACCTTTGCTGAGTACGCCTTTTTGCTTGACACGGTGCAGATAAAGCAGATAAGGCATGTGTAAGAGCAGAGTTGAAAGGTTCAACTGCAGCCAATGGTACATGACATTCAGAGCGATGTTTTGGTTTGAACACAATGGTATACAGAGCAATTTTGGATTTCAACACTCTTGCAATGTCTTGTTTTTTAACCTTAAATTACAAACAACACCACTAAGATGATCCTTTTTAGAGGGAAGTTAGCATTTGTTAGGCAATGAGCACTGTGAGGTTTTAAAGTAATACGTGCCAAACAGCAGACAAGCAGAGGCCAAATCCTCACAAATTGCAGGTGCACTGGTTAAAATAAAAGCAAAAGTAAACAGAAACGCTGACAATAAGCATAAAAAAGACAAACAGGCAGAAGTGAAAATAAGTGAAAGGTAACTGACAAATGCAAGTGGGCTGACAGCTTAATATGACATTTATTTAAAAAAAAACATTGATTTATGATAAGTTTTCATGATGTTAATTCCTCTGAGTAAAATCCTGTGCTGCAAATAAATAAATACTGTCACACTCTAAGCATATTGTAATGTGTGCCATCACCTGGCCTTGCAGTGGGTAATCACATTTATGAGAGCTACGACAACGCTGAAAGGAAAAGACTCGGCCTGCCATGCGAGAGACGGAAAAACACTCAAGCCAGTTCATTGTGTTTTTCATACAAGGTTAGGGAAGGCACCATCAGCCACAACACTGCCTTTTCTCATAATAAAGCACACTATATAACCATAACCCGAGGGTGAACATGGCCTTACGATAACTATATAGCCTTTATGTTCAGCCAAGGCTTGTGGGTGACATAAGATACTAACACAAGACAAAGCTGTCTCTCCCTCACCCTGAGGGGAAGAGAAGGTTTGTAGCTGCATGTGTTTTCTGCTGCTCGGTGACGTTGCAGGAGTCTTGGCCTTGAGGGCGAGAATGTGATCGCAGTTTGACTGGCTCTGTTATAAATAAGAGGTCATGGAAGAGATTGATGGTGTATCAGGATCCTCAAAAAGAGTGGAAGAGGAAAAAAGGTGAAAAAGACTCCAGCCAGTTGAGATGTTCCAGCCTGGTTTTATCATCATCCCACTTGATCTTCACTTTACTCTCTCCTTCCTCTTTTACCTGGTATTTACAAAAACACAACAAGACACAGATAACTCCCTTGAAATAATACAGCTGCAGCCTCTTGTGAAAAACAGCCCCAACTGAACTAGGGAAACCACCATGTTACGTGCATGTTATGGCAACAGAAATGACAGATGCTAAGCTGGGGCCTTTACATCCTCCGCTGAGTTTGTGGCCATACAGCAGACGTTATCTCTTCAATGTACAAAAGCTGCATAATGTTGAGTCATGAACAGCAAACAGCTGCGGTATGGTTTTCACACTTCACACAGATTAACGGTTCTTTCCAATCGAGCAGGACACAAAGGGGATTCCCTGGTTGCAGCATGAAGAGCCACTTGACTTTTTTCCATCCTTTAGCTCTCTGAAATCCTCCTGTGAGTGTGTGTGTGTGTGTAAGTGAGAGAGAGAGAGAGAGAGAGAGAGAGAGAGAGAGAGAGAGAGAGAGAGAGAGAGAGAGAGAGAGAATCCTGAACTGTCAAAACCACCCACTGGAAACTTTCTGTCCTTCCCAACCACAAACATATCTGAGGCGAAACGAACAGGACGTAAACCATGAACCTTCACTTTCTGTCTGTGAGACACT